CTCCGAAGAGGAAATGCAAATGGCCAATAGGCATATGAAAAAATGTTCAGCATCACTTGCAATCAGAGAAATGCAAATCAAGACTACAACGAGATACCATCTTACACCAGTGAGATGGCGCACATTAAAAAAACTAGCAACAAATGTTGGCAAGGATGTGGAGAAAAAGGCACTCTCCGACACTGTTGGTGGGAGTGAAAATTGGTCCAACCACTATGGAAAGCTGTATGGAGATTCCTCAACCTGCTAAAGATGGAGCTTCCATATGACCCAGCAATTCCACTTCTAGGTATTTACCCAAAGGACACAGAATCATTAATTCAAAAGGGCACCTGCACCCCCATGTTTATAGCAGCACTATTTACAATAGCTAAGCTAAGGAAACAACCCAAATGCCCAAAAATAGATGACTGGATCAAGAAGATGTGGTGCATATATGCAATGGAATACTAATACTATCAAAAAAAGATAAACTCATGCCATTTGCAGCAACATGGATGGAGCTGGAAGGGATCATACTCAGCGAAATAAGCCAGAAAGAAAAAGAAAAATATCAGATGGTCTCACTCATAGCAGGAATTTAGAAACCTAAATAAGGGACCAGGAGAAAGACTAATTATAATAAAGTAAAAATCAAAATCAACAAGCAACTATAAGCCAGAGACACACTACGGGGGGGTGGAAGTGGGGAGGTAGGAGGGAATACAGTCAAAATAAGGGGGGTGGGAATTGTATGGGGACTACAACCAAGATGAAAAGGCATACATTGTGCAAAAATGAAAAATGATGCAAAAATATACAAAATAAAATAAAAAAGAGGTCTTAAATTAGAGGGACAATTTTAAAGTTAGTGCTTTCAAGAACTTAAAGAACGAGGCATTGTAAATCCTTAAAAATTCCCTGTAGGTTACTTGTTTTGATTGTATTTACTGAGGAAAATATGCATTTTTAGTTGGATAAATCAAGTTTCTGAAACTTGAAAGTTCATTTTAAAAATAATGAACTAGTAATGGCTAGTTTTTACTTAGACTACCCCATCTATCTGAACACTAATATATGCATTCCTAGTTTTCTGATTAAAAATGCACACGTTTTTAATACTTTGGTATTTTAAAGGCTGTGTTTTCCTATGGCATGAGACTTTTATCATCATTAACCAATAATAAAAACATAATAAAACATTCCATTTCTCACCAAGGTAACATCAACACTTGTCCCTTCCCAAGAAAACTGATGAACTAACTACACATTGCTTGGAATCCCTGGATCTTTCTTTCTCCCTGAGATCCCCATCTCATAAAGGCCTTTTATAGTTGGCACAATGTTATACACATAAGAAATGTACGCACATCTACCTAGGGTTTTTTTTTTCCTGTTTGTTTTCTCTTCCAGCATTTGATCACTGGCTGGTGAACAGTTAGGGCCCACAGAGATCTCTAGACCACCAGCTCATGTATTTGAAAGGCATCTGTTTATTTTGAAAATGCAAATGTGGCCTACCTCAAAGACTAACAGGCAAGAAATGACCCACTGAGCAACGGGAGAGATTTCCAATCTGGAGCCCTGTCCCTCCCTCTACCACACCGAGATCACTTGCTGTCAGAACCACTTAAACAAGCTCTGGGCATGTGAGTGAAGTGCCCATAATTAACATGAGCAGGGTCCTTTCTCTCTCCCTCCTTCTCCCTGTTCCTTTCCTTCTCTATCCCTCTCCCCCTCCCTCTCTCCTAGGCAGATTTCTCACCCAGTTGAAAGTAGTGATGAGGTTATTTACAAAAGTACTTTGAACCTTTGAAATGGTGGCACCTAGACCAAGGGCTGGCTGGAGGAGAGCCCCATAATAGAGACACTGGCCTCTACCAGCAGCAGTCTGGTCCTGGGGATAGATTCTGGAGAAAGCTCAGGAAGGTTAATACCAGGTCTTTGATCTCTGTCAAGGCATACCAGCAAGAATTAATTTACATTTCAGATGAAAAAGGTTGACAGCATGAAAAGGCATCTTGTTTCTGGTATGTGAATGTGCCGTAATAGATCGGGAATTCTGAAAGGAAGTTCTGAGGAAGCTAAAGGGATAAGCCAAGCGGCTGCTTTTATTGGGAAGGAGATGAAAGGAAAACAAATTTCAATATGCACTGCTCTGTAGCAACATGTAGGCCAAATGCTTCCTAAATTTCAAGGGCTGGTTTTTTTTAAAATATATAACACATCTTAACAACACCATTAAAAAAAAAAAGACTAAGGGCCAGATGAAATACAAATGCATTCTACAGAATCTAAATTTCAAATAATATGATTTGTTGGGGGAAAAAATTAGAGAATAACCAGAGAAAATAAACAGAATGATTGTGCCATGATAGCATGCCCACCTCACTTCCTGCAGGCTTCAAAAGCAAGGGAACCACTATGTCTGCGACTTGTTCTACTCGGAAATGTTATGTTGGCACAAAGGGATGTTTCTTTTCTTTTTTTTTTTTTTAATTTTTTTTAAAGATTTATTTATTTATTTATACAAGCACTGGGTACAGTCAGAAGCGCAGGGGGGTGAGAGAATCCACCAGAGCCAGAGCGGGGAGCAGAGCAGGCAGAAGGACCGAAGTACACTGCTGAGGGGAGCAGCGGATGGCAGGAGAGGTCTGCGCGCCATGTGGGACCCTCCTCCGGTGGCCCGGGAGCAGCCGGGGATCGAACCAGTGCTGCAGAGACTGAGGGGGAGCTTCACAACCCAGCGCTCAACCACTACGCCACCGGGGAGGCTGACAAAGGGACGTTTCTAAAGAGGGGATTATGCCTTGGGAAGGGCACACACCAAAACAGAGATGTTGGAATAAACTGCTTTGCTTTTTAGATAAGCACAACCATGCTTTCGAATCTAAAGAAAAACATCCTTAGGTAAAATAAACTGCCCCTAAAATTGCAAACATCCTTACCCCAACACATAACTAGCAACTTGACTGATAGAGACACTCTCCTGCTTTTGCACTGGCTGCCACACTGTACTTCCAAGAGGGAGAAGTGGCATTAGTGCCACCCTCAGTGTCTTCATGCCTGCCCAGGCCCCTGCAGCCTCAATTAATGGAAATTTCCAATGCCGCTTGATAAGTAGGAACAACAGCTGCCGGGTTAAGGAAGGCAGTACTTGCAAAACTAAAACAACAAAACAAAAAGCAAGCTCTCAAAGAAATGTGTTCTTTGTAGTTTCACAATGCAAAATTGTGCTTCCACAGTACCTGGCACATGGGTGCTGCCCTGTAAAGATGTCATCATGACTGTTCTGATATGACAAAGAAGCCAACCTGTTTATTTTTATGCCATATTTACTTAGAGATAACAGTATAAACTGGGAGCCCTCTAAAGATGATTTTCTGAGAGAAAATATGATTTATGACCCTACACCCTCAACTCAGTGGACCAAGATTATCAGCTTGATGGAGAAAGAGGAATCTGCTGCCTCTCAAGAGTCCTGTAATTTTTCTCTCCATTTTTATAATAAACTTGCCCTTTTGGATATAAATAAATATCTCTGCCTCATGGGGAAATTCACCATGTGCTGCTTAAAGGACAGCTTTGATGAAATTTTTCCCAGAATTAACCCGAGGACCCCACTCTCTGAACCCAACACCTCTCCAAACCAACATCAGGCTCAAAGTTTAACTTTTAAAACATCTGTTGGGCTCTGGGACAAAACGCTAGCTCAATATTCTCTTAATGGGGAAGAGAGAGAGAGAGAGAAAGAGAAAGAAAGTGTGTGTGTGTGTGTGTATGTGTGTGTGTGTGTGTGTGTGTGTGCACGCGCGCGTGCGCAGATGGGTAAGTAGGGAACAAATAATTCTGGGTTGTCTTTCTTAAGCAGCCACTAGAATTACATCCCTTTTCCTTAATCTTTGAAGTTGTAGAGCTTAGAATTCCTAAGAGATAGTGTTTAAAGTTACATACTTGCATTTAAATGAAGCCCCTTCCTCGCAAATATTTTGGTTCTGAATGAAGATGTCTGGCTTCTGCGGTGGCCAGAGAGAGTTCTGAGGCTGTGGAGTCAGGTTCTAGACAGGGCCCTCCTCGAAAAGGCTACATCTGTTTTATTGAAAAGTCTACTTCAAGAGTGGCAGTGTCTGAAATCCTATATCTCTCTCCCTGCTGCTGAGTCCACTGCACTCGCCACTTCTCTTTCATTCTGTCTTCAGTTTCTTATGCTCTCGGAGCTCCTGGCATACTGTGGAGCCTGTTTCTCCCAGCGCCTCAATTAGGCATTTGCAGCTTCAAATAGCAGAGAGAGTTTGGTCTGGCAGCCACGTGGATACCATCCTTTGCAGAACAGCAGAGTGACCTGGACTCAGAGGAGGGGATGGTTGAGCCAGGAGCCAGGGTTCCCAGTCTTCAGCAGCCAACGCCAATTTAAGCCAATGTGGACTCATCCCGTGGGGGCCCTGGGAACCACGTTAGTCACATCCTGAGTGTGGAAAACCCAGTTGGCTGGGAAAGTACCTGAGTTTTCCTATCTCCATGATGCTAAAGACAAGTCTGGCATGTAATCAGAGAATTCCCAGGTTGGAAGGCACCCTCCAGACGTTTTTAGTCAATAGTGCCCATTTTATAGACAGGCACATGTAAGTCCAAAAAGGAAAGGGTGTGTTCAGTTGGCAGTGTGCAAAGCTGACTGTCCAAACTGCCCATATTTGAAAGCTGCCTCTGCTACTGACCAGCTGTGTGTTCACAGACAAGTTACTTCCCTTCTCTGGGTCTCTTTTTTTCCTACTATAAAATTGGGAATATAGGAATACCTACACAGCGCATCCTAAGCCAAGTATGACAAGCAGCACATGCGACTTTTAGCTTCATCATCGCTCAAGAGGTGTGTTAGTACAAGCACTAGAAGCCCCTGCTGTAACTCTTGGACTCAAGTTACGGTGTTCCTAAATTATTAACCTTATAGCTTTTCTAAATTCATATAAACTTAATCACAGAATATTTTCAAGTGAATATTGTGAAAATGATGTTTTAATTACCTGGTTGTATATGAACAGCAGACTCATTCCTTCTGTTGCTTATTTTCTTAAATTTCCTCCGAGCATCATATCCTCTCCAGGCTAAAAATATAAAACCATGTGCTAGGAATGACATTAATTTAAGAACGTGCCAGAGAATTGATATAAGCTGTTTCCCCTCCAATGTATTACCCCTCTCCTCCTCCCTCCTGCTTTCTCACTGAACCAGTTAAGCAGAGATACGTGAGCAGTGATGGGGAAGAGAGGCCTCTCTGTACTCTCTGTTTGTCCTCCAAGATGTTTCTGAGGAGTTATTTTTGTTTTTAGCCAGTGCATTTACAAAACACTCTGGTTTCCAGTTTTAAATCACTTGGATCCCCTGTCCCAGGTAAAGTGGTTCTCTGTCATTCCAGCCCATGGAAGAAGCTCTGTCTTCAGGAAGTGGGGGCTGTGAAGAAACTGGAATAACTTGATCTGGCCCATATTTTTAATTGGAGGAAGGTATAAACATGGCAGTTGAAAGCAAAAATAAAAGGGGAAATAACTAGTAATACAACACTTGCATTTTGTAAGGGGAACTATATGCCAAGAATTGTGCTAAGAGAAGGAAAACGCATGACAGAAATGCAAAAGGCAAGAGAAATGAAAAAAAGAAGAGAAAGAGACACTCTCTCAATATGAAGAGACACCGACTAGAATGGTATATGGCAGAGCCTAGTGATTTGTTAGGTTGGTTTATAAGCTCTGTCTGGGCAAAAAGTCCTCTGGAAATGGTATTAATTATACTGATGCTGAAAACCTTGTAGTGACTAAGTATATTAAGTATATGATGTGATGTCTGTCAGTCATCTGGGAGCTGGGGTACATGTTAGTGTGACCTGGGTTTTGCATCCATCCACTTCATACTGCCTCTGTCTTGTCACTCATCCAGGGTGTTGTGATGGCTTGTTTGTTTGTCTGGAGGTCAGGGACCTTGGTGGTCCTGCTCTTGGCTATATCCCTAGCACCTAGCACAGGGTATGGTCAGCAGTAGGAACTCAGTAAACATTTGCTGATGCAGGGAAGATAAGAAAGGGAGGGAAGAAGAGAAGAAAACACTAAGGAAAGTAACAGGTAAGTGCCCCCCACGCCCAGAAACTAATGAAATGCCAGGACTTAGAACCATTTACCTGATTGGATGGCAACAGCCCCCTTCTCTCTCTTCTCTCTGACTCTTTTATATCTCCTGGCTACAAGCCAGCCCTTGGCATATGCCTGCAGCACAACTACTCTGCTTATGACTTCTCGGAGTAACAAGTTTAACTGTTCAATGTGGTAATATTTGAGAAAAACCTGAAATGAGACATTAGTTTTAGTTATGGGCTCCCAAGCTGAACTTTCATTCTATTCCAGTAAGTTTTTAAAAAAGATTTATTTATTTACACATACAAGAACTGGGGTACAGGCCAGAGGTGCGGGGGTGAGGGGATTCACCAAACACAGAATGGGGAGCAGAACAGGCAGATCTACTGAAATACACTGCTAAGGTGAGCAGCAGGTGAGACAGGAGAGGTCTGCTGCATCACGTGTGTGGCTCCCTGGCCGGGGATCAAACTCATACTGCAGTGGCTGTGGATAGCTTCATAGTGCTGACATTTAACCCCTTGTGCCACCAGGGAGGCCTATTCCAGTATATTCTTAATATAAATATTTTAAAAATTATACAAATAAAGTTTATGATGACTTGAATTATGCTAACATTACTGATTTCTTAGTAGCAAATACAATCCCCCTTCTAAGGTTGAGCCAATCTGATTATTCACGTCAACAATGTTAGGAGATACCAAATGGCCTACCTCATTTCTGCCAGGTGATCTCTGCTCTCCTTCCCCGCAGCCTCTGGTGGAGGAGGCACTAACCCACAGAACTGACTCACAACCAACAGTGGAAGGTCAGAGGACAGGGATTCAGATGACCCATGGGGATCTAATTTCTTTTTTTTTTTTTTTAAAGATTTATTTACTTATGCATACAAGAACTGAGATATAAGTCAGAGGTGCAGGGAGTAAGAGGATACACCAGAGAGAACAGGGAGCAGAAGAGGCAGATCCACTGAAATACACTGCTGAGGAGAACAGCGGGTGAGACAGGAGAGGTCTGCTGCCATGTGGGTTGCTCCCTGACCAGGTGCTGCAGTGGCTGGCAATAGCTTGATAGCTCTGTCTTTAACCCCTGCATCACCAGGGAGGTCCAAGGGGATCCAATTTCTGCTGAGGAGCAGCAGTGGGGCCTCAACATTCAGTCTAAGGCTACATTTTAAGGGTAATTCAGAATGGACCATAAAAACCTGAGATCCTGCAAGGGTGTAAAGTTCCCACAAATTAAAAAACTACACACGATAAGACCATTAAGCTGGCTACAGAGAAAATAACATCTGTTGAAAAAATGGACAAACTGTAAGAGACACATTGTCATTGATAAGATTTTTGCATTTGCATGTGGGGCTGGAATACACAACATTGAAAAATGGGGCATTTTAGAGTGATTTAAAGTGAGGGCATTTTGAAGATCTCATTCTAGGAATGCTAAATGACTCTCAAACTTTATGTAGAGCAGGAAACAAACCCTTCACCTCTGGTCCAGGAGGTCCTGGGTCTCCTGACCTAAGACCAGCAAAGATCACAGTTAGGCTGGGGTTTTGTCTGCTAAGCTATATAAAGTGTCACTCATATCACTGATGACAGACAAGGGTACACAGAAGAGCATCACAGGTTAACAATGAGAACAATAAAGAAAGAACTACCTTTGTTTTTCCCAGCACCCAGTGATCTAATCTGCATTTTTCCAAGATAGCAGCGCAGCTCTCTTTGCTAGCAAGAGGTGTTTGATGTGCTCTGAATGCCAAGTAATAATACCTACAAAATAAAAGAGTCAAATAAAGCATTTTTAGTCATAGGTTGATTCAGTATAGTAGAATTGTTTAGGCCCTTTGACATGCTTTATTTTTTAAGAGTAAATATTTCTTGAGCACCAATTATAGTGAGCTGGGTAGTAGAAGGTACACAATATAAGCTTATTGGTTCTTATCTACTTTTATATTTTCTGTTATATACATTTTCCTTTTAATATTATTTTGTTATTTACATTCAGTGCATAATTGTATCTTTTGTGTGAAAATCAGACTAACCCTTTTAGAAAGCTCATATTAGAAAGCTCCCTTAGTGAAAGTCATTGGTTGATATTACTATGATAAAAATAATCTGTGATCTCATTGCATGAATTTTGACACTATACTTTGAAAAGTCCATCTGAAGCAACCTGTAAATAGAATCAGCCTAACGCCGCTGATTCTGATGCGGAGTCACATACTCAAAGAGTAGGTATGTTTTCTTGATACAATCACCAAAATCACATTTGTCTCTTTAAATTACTCATTTTAATGAACTTCCATACTTTCAGATGAAAGAGGTTCTGGGCAGACTCAAAGAATACCACCAAAAGGGTTTTATTTCTCCTTTTTTCTTTATTCTTCCCATTAAAAAATACATAAGCTTGCTAAATAAGTTTTCCTTTTATTAAACTCTACATTTATTTTCCTTTAAAACTCTTTCACAGATATTTTCTCTGCTCTTTGCTGCCATCTATAATAAAATTCAACCCCTTGGAAGCTTACAAATAAACCTATTTTCTTGTCAATGCATGTTCCTGCCATTCCTCAGACAAAGCTGATTTGGTATTTTGGAATTACCTTGAAATGTATTTTAAATATTGAATGATTTTACTTTAAGAAAAAAAATTCACCAAAATGTAAAATATGTCTCTTCCTCCTGACATATCTTTCTATTTATGGAAAAATAAACATATCCAATTAGCACTTGAATCATTCCACTGTTTCTTTGTGCTACAATACAAGACTGTTTACAAATTAGGATTTAATGCTGAATTTGCTAGAAACATTCAACATTCATAGATCTTGGAATTGTTTCCAAGGTTTTGAATCTTTGTTTCTATCTTTGAGGAGGAGGGACAATGCTCACTTAGAATCCCTGAATGGTGGCAAGAAATAGGTTATTTGACCAAGCCCCAGAATCTGCTCATAGCAGATGTCTTCTGGAGCTGAGGAGGAAAAGGGACAGCAAGGACTCAGGCTTAGGCATGTATGGGCATTTCATGGCATCGGTGCAGATTTTTCAGTCCCTGTCTCTCTTGCACCATAGTTTCAGTCCTTGCTTCTCTGACTTGGTTCATCAAAAAGATTTGATCTGGAGTACATGGGGATGGTGTGAACAGATGGCAAATCTATAGGGGATGAATGTCTTGGTAAAGCTGATATACAGACAGCTCAATGTGTCTGGGGTAAAATAAGGACTTCTTATGCTTTTTTCCTTTAGGCCTAGTCATTTAGAACATCAGTTCCCTTGACTTTAATCAGCCCAGGATTACTTATGATGACTGTTCAATACTATTGGCGACAAAAATATTTAAAGAGAACCGAATGAGTAGCCTTGTACTGATAGAAGATACATCAAAAATATAAAAAGACTGTAACATATGTTGGAGCTCTCCAATCAAGGACTTATATTTGTTTTCCAGGCATCTGGGGATGGTTCTTAGCAACTTCAAATTTCTAAATAGGCATAATTTATCCTGAATTACCATAAATACTAGAACTTAACTTTGATTTTTAGTGCTTTAACCAGTTTCTTATTATGATAATAATATTCATATATGGCTTAATTCAGAAAGAAATGGCTAATAATGTGCAAAGAGGTGAAAATTTCAAAAATCATTGCAAAACATGTAAGTGATATGTCTCTAGGAATTTGCTCAAAGTAGTGTAATGTGTTTTCTCCAGATTAATTTTAGATTCTAGCATACATAGTAGAAAAGCACTTTGGTTGAGTTCTTATATGCTATAAGAATGAAATTGAAAGAAGACAAGACAAAAGGTAGGCCAGCAAGGAGATTTTTGGGAGTGGGGGGAAGTCCATTTAGTAAACAAGAAATATGTATTAGCAAAATAATAAGTATAAAGGTTTGTCTTAAGGGCCTGAGAACTTGAGAGCATTGCAAATATCAGTTCTTCCCTGAGCTGCCTATTGTAGGTAGAATTTCTCTCTCATATTGGAGTCTGAGCACTATCTTTAGCTGTGAATAATTCACTTATGTCTCTGCACCTAAATTCCCACAGGTGGGAATGTGAGTCAGATGAATAGTTCTTAACTCTTTTTTGGAGGAGAGAGGGACTGTGAAAACATCGTAAAAGTTATATACATTCTTTCTGAGGAAAATGTTTTTTACACAACACACTGCAAATAATGTAAAGGGATCCACATACATCTGATAACCCTCCAAGGACCTTAGAGCCCTTTCTTAGTTCAGAACTCTGTGAAAGATGATAAATTTCCCAATGTCAAATCTTATTAAACATCATCTACTAAAACATCATCTACTAAAATTGTAAATATATTTATAATTTTAAAACTATTATAAAAATACGTAGTTGAAAAATATTTCTATTCAAAATTGTTATTTGGCTTTCTTCCTATAATGTTTTGTTGTACGGAATGCAGACTTTTCAAGGAAAAGTTTTAAATTATAATAGGTGAAGAAGTTTGTATTTTTTAAAAAGATTTTATTTTTTATGCATACAAGGGCTGGGGTATAGGCCAGAGGTGCTGGGGGTGAGAGGATTCACCAGAGACAGAGTGGGGAGCAGAATAGGCAGATCTACTGAAATACACTGTTGAGGGGAGCAGTGGGCAAGACAGGAGAGGTCTGCTGAGTCATGTGGGTCCCTGGCTGGGGATCGAACTGATGCTGCAGTAGCTGCAGCTAGCTTCATAGAGCTGATGCTTAGTCCCTTACACCACCAGGGAGGCCCAGTTTGTAAAGTATTAATAACAAGTTATTCTGATATTCAATGGCTTAAAAAACAGTATTTAAAATCTCACAGATTCTGGGAGTCCGAATTCAGGAGCAAGTTATTTGGGCAATATTAGCTCAGGGTCAGTCGTAAGACTATAGTCAAGATGAAGATTTGACTGGTTGAAGGATCTATTTTCAAGAAGTGTAATCACAAGACTGATAATAGAAACCTTTAGTTTCTCACTGGTTACTGGCAGGAGGCCCAAGTTCTTGCTGCAGAACTTCATTTGAGTTCAGAGCATCATTTGAGTTCTTCAGACATAGAAGATGATTTCCCTCAGACAAAGGATTCGAGCAACAGACCAAGGAGGAATCTGAAATGCCTTTTATGACTGAGGCTTGGAAATGACATATCACTCCTTCCACATTTTTCTATTCTTTAGAAACAAATCACTAAGTTCACCTCACATTCAATGAAAGAGAAATTAAGTTCTATCTCTCGAAGAAAAGAGTACCAGGTAATCGGTGGACATAATTTAAAGAATCTCTCTAGATCAATGTCTTCTTTTTACTGATGAAGAAAACTGCTTTTAGTGAGATGAAATAATTTGTCCAAGATGAAAACAACAGGCCCTCCCCTGGTGGCGCAGCGGTTGAGCGCTGGGTTGAGAGGCTGCCTGCAGCCTCTGCAGCGCCGGCTCATTCCCTGGCAGCTCCAGCAAGGGTCCCACAAAAAAAAAAAAAAAAAAAAAAAAAAAGATGACAACAACAAAATGACAAAGGCTAATATTATTATTATTATTATTCATGTCTCCTGAATTTTATATCTTGATTTTTTTTTTTTGTTAACCATTAAATCTTAAAATAATTCTCCCTGTAATCTTTATTTTTTTTTTTTAAATATTAAATTTTATTTTTATATTCCCCCATACAATTGCAAACGCCCCATTCTGACCCCAATCCTTCCCTCCCGCCCCCCACCCCAAAAAAGTGTCTCTGGTTCATAGTTTTTTGTTGATTTTGATTTTCACTTTCTTATATTCATTTTCCTGGTCCCTTATTTAAGTTTTCTAGATTCCTGCTATGAGTGAGACCATCCGGTATTTTTCTTTTTCTTTTTGGCTTATTTCGCTGAGCATGATCCCTTCCAGCGCCATCCATGTTGCTGCAAATTGCATGTGTTTATCTTTTTTGAATGCTGAGTAATATTCCATGGTATATATGTACCACATCTTCTTGATCCAGTCATCTATTTTTGGGCATTTGGGTTGTTTCCAAAGCTTAGCTATTGTAAACAGTGCTGCTATAAACATAGGAGTGCAGGTGCTCTTTGGAATTGATGTTTCTGTGTCCTTTGGGTAAATACCTAGGAGTGGAATTGCTGGATCATATGGAAGCTCTATGTTTAGTAGGTCCAGAAATCTCCACACAGCTCTCCATAGTGGTTGGACCAGTTTGCACTCCCACCAACAGTGCACAAGAGTTCCTTTTTCTCCACATCCTCGCCAACATTTGTTGTTGCTAGTTTTTTTAATATGTGCCATTCTCACTGGTGTGAGATGGTATCTCATGGTAGTTTTGATTTGCATTTCCCTGATTACAAGTGATGTTGAACATTTTTTCATATGTCTGTTGGCCATTTGCATTTCCTCTTCAGAGAAGTTTCTTTTTAGCTCTTCTGCCCATTTTTTGACTGGATTATTTTCTTTGTTGTTGCTGAGTCTCATCAGCTCTTTGCAGATTTTTGTGATCAGTCCTTTATCATTAGTGTTGGGTGCAAAAATGTTCTCCCAGTTGGTGGGGTTTCTCTTTGTTTTTGTTATTGTCTCTTTTGCTGTGCAGAACAGACCAATGGAATCGAATAGAAAATCCAGAAATAAACCCACAGATTTATGGTCAACTAATCTTTGACAAAGGAGCAAAGACTATGCATTGGAGCAAAGAAAGTTTGTTCAATTAATGGTGCTGGGAAAACTGGGTCGCTACATGCAAAAGAATGAAGCTTGACCACTACCTCACACCATACACAAAAATCAACTCAAAATGG